AAGTTTAATTTTAATATAATTTGACACGATTTTTAATATTAGTTATTCAATTCGTATTATTATGATCACAATTAGTAAGATTTATTTGGTATAGTATATAAATATAGCAAGTATTTATATAGGAATATATGAGAGGAATAATTTTAATATTTATTAGTAAATTTATCAAGATAATATTAATTTAATTGTTTNATTAGTTATTGAGTTCGTATTATTATGATCTTAATTAATAAGAATAAATATATTTATATAGGAATATATAAGAGGAATAAATTATAATCTTTTTTTCTAAAACCAGGACATTTTTAATATTAGTTATTCAGTTCGTATTATTATGATCTAAATAAATACGAATAAATATATTTATAAGAGGAATAAATTTTATATTTATTTGTAAATTTATAAATACAATATTAAGTTTATCCTTTGGATTCAATTTTGTTAATATACAATAATCTATTTCGAAATGCTCACGATTGATAAGAATTTATTATTAAGAATATTTTTTTAAGAGTAATTTTTCTACTTTTTTTTAAATTTACCATTAGTGAGATTGTAATAATACACTTTCAATTTTGTTACCTGGAACAAGTATACAAAAGTAGCAACTGAAATATATTACCGTTGCTTTGACAAAGCTAGTAAAAAATGGTTGCTTTTAGTGCTTCGTAAATTTAGTGTTAGAATAAGAACTGTAAAACCGGCCATTCTGACTTTCTCCGTGAACCTAGACCAGTGCAGTAAATTATTCCTTTCCGGTATAAAAAATTGTAAGGGCTGTCAGGAGCCCGTAGAATCTAGTGTTTTGAATACCAAAAGATCATCGGAAAAAGTGTCGCCCAACGGACGATCCTCGAAGGCGAATAAAAAAACGACAGAAGACGCCAAACGACGGGTCCCGCGTCAACGGAAGACGACGCCGCGCCGTTACACGTGTCCCAGAAAACCGCGAAAAAAAAGGATCCGTCAGTTTTTTGGCCGGTGAACGGGTTACAACCCCGTCTCGATTTTGTTTTCCGCTCTCTCCCCACTATTTCGCCCCTGTTGTCTCCGTACGGGAATCCTGCATAATTTCGACGAGGCTGGGATTAGAGGAGGAAGCGGTGAAAGTGAAAGGACTCGGAAGGAAGACAAAGGGGATCGACGGGACCGGCCGAAAAAAAAATTACGACGGACCAACGGAGGGGCGATAGCTGGAAAGGGTTGAAGATCTCTTTGCATACTCTTTCGCCCCGCCCTGCGGGAAAAAAAAACAAACAGACGGAAGCGCGAAAAAAATTTTTCGGTCCGCGGGGTGGGGGTTGATTTGAATACGCGGGGTGGGAGATTTTTCTCTCGTGCAACGGCATCCTCGGCTGTTTTTTGGCACCACGGGTTTTTTAACGGACGTTCTTCGCCAAGCTTTCCACTCTGCTGAAACCACCCTTGAAAATCTACGAAATTACTATGACAACTCCTCTTGAAAAATTATTAGGTTCGGGGAAACGAAGTTTAACCCTTTGCGCTCAAGTGATGACTTTGAAGTACTACGAAAAATTTCAAAATATTTACCGCGCGAAATGGTTATTGCAATTTGTAATACTCTGTCCATTTGAAATATTTGATCAATGCATTTTCTACACGTGTCGCAAAATATTTTGTTAAAATAAATAATCAACAAATGGAATGTGATCTTTTTAAATTACTTTAAGCGCGATGGTATAATCTCTCACTGCGAGGAAACGAGTCCTCATTGTGAAACGTGTTGAATAAAAGTTAATTCCTCGGTTAACAAACTAAAAAAATTATTAGAAATATAATTGTCGTACGAATCACAAGATTCAATTTTTTCATATGAATAAAATCAATTAAGCTATATAAAATGGAAATACTGCGGCTAAGAAAAACTATTTTGGATTTAGAGCTGAAACGATTTCCAGCGCAAAGGGTTAATTTCAAATTGTCCTGCACCGCTACCTATCACAAGACTGCGCGTTGATGGAAAAGACAGAGCTGCGAGCGTAGAAAAAGTATCGCGGGGTAAGAGGGAAGAGAAAGTTGTAGAATGACTTAGAAATGTAGAAGAAATGAAAAAGAGGCTGCAGAAAAGGCAAGGTAGATCGTGCAATAGAAAGTCGCTACAATAAATTAGGATCGGTTAGGTTAGAGTAGATTAGGGTAAGATTTACAGGAAGATGAGTGGTTACACGAGAAAGAATAATATGAGGATAGATCAAGGAATATTGCGTTTACGTAACAATCGTTACAAAGAGAATAGAAAAATGAAAATTAATTCAGCTCGAAAATATCGTTGACTATAATTTAGTCACGTTTATGTTTCGCTAACGCGCAGAAAAACTTACTTAATCCTCGAATAGCCGACGCAAATGAGCGACGCCGCGCGCCTACGCCGGGTCACTTCTGACCCATAGCTGAACGTTTACTATGCTTGCTATGCACCTAACTTTTTGCAACAGGATGTTATCGAATAATATTTATCATGTTGAGAGGAGAGGAGTTCGTTTAAACAACGTGCTTCTTCGCTACCCTCATGGGTCAACGGCGACCCGGTCTCGGCTACGCGAAGATTAATTATTCTCCGTTTCTGAGCTCAAAGTCATCCAAAAGCGTTGTGTTCGTTTTTTCATCAGCTATAACAATGCGAGCTTACGAATACATTTCGCTATTTGAAAAAGTGAAGGTGACCTCAGTTTCTTATTGAATAAAAAAGTTTTCAGGAATTTTTATTATTGCACTTATAAATCAAAACCGAGTACTTAACAACTTTTATTCGAAACATTTCTGCGTCGCGAATTGACCTAAATGCCTAAAAGATCGTGGCGACTGTTAGGGTAAACACCCTATATGTCACATATATTTAATAATGTATATATAAAGTAATATATATATATATATATATATATATATATATATATATTAATATAATAATAATACATATACATATAATAATAAATTATAGATATATATTTATTATTATTATAATAATATTATATATACATATATATATATATAAGTGCCTAAAAAATCGTGGCGACTGTTAGGGTGAACACCCTGTATGTCACATATATTTAATAATGTATATATAAAATAATATATATGTATATATAATATTATTATTATAATAATAAATATATATCTATATAATTTATTATTATATGTATATTATATTATATTATATATATAATAATTTAATATATATATATTATTATTATTATAATAAATATATATGTATATATTATCCTGCTGCATTACTTTGCCACGCAATTTCAACAACCACCCCTTTGAACGCCTCGGAGATCCAAAGCCCTCCTTGAAACGCCTGGAAAACAAACACCGTGGATTCACAACGGACAAACGCAACGACGGCCTTGTGCTCCAACAATCGCGACAATCAAAAACTAGCCCCCCACCACCGCGACAATCAGGAACTACCCCTTCCATGAGACAATGGCCTTGGAACAACGGTGGCTCGTCCCGTGACACGTCGCAAGGTGCTGCGACTCGCATCCTCGAATCCGAATGACCGCTCAGGCATTCTGTAAAGGGGTGAGCGAAGGTGAATCAGGGGTAGGAAGACGCTTCCGTGGGCCCCGAGGATCAGCCGGTTTTTTTGTCTAGGCTCGGGCGCGCCCGCAGGACTCTTGGAGAGGCCTCTGCGGAAAAAACAAGGAGCCACGACAATGAGGGGACGATTTAAATAATCCGCGGCATGCAAATGTCTCGTAGATTCTCACGGGACGGGGCCCGTCTGGCCCGTGGGCCGCGGTCACGGGTGGGGACTTGATCCGCCGAGAGAAACAGGAAGAAGGAACCGAAGACAATCGCGCGATCTGCATACGGGTGCCTCGAACCCTCTTGCGCCGCGTTTCGGGGATGATCGACGGCTCCGAGCTAGAATTTAATTGGGCTTTCAGACCGCGACGCTCGGTGCTACTTTTTTAGAACGTGCAATTTTTGATGCTTGTAGCAGCATAATGCCGCTGTAATACCCTGTAATATACAACGTGTCCATCGATAAGCGCCGTTTAAAGTAACCGGTACACGGTTTACTTTAGGAAACAAGCGTTAAATATATTTTTTATGCTTTTTTTTACGTAGAATGCGTTAACGCAAAAAATCATTTCTTTTTACTTCATTTTAGAAGGTCATTCGAAGGTTACTTTAATCCTTTTAAATGGACCTGTTTTTCCTTCGCTACAATGAGAGAGCGTAAAGTAACGAATTCGGAGTACTATTTACAAGCGACCTTGAGGTGACCTTCCAAGCCATAAAGATACAATATTTTTTGCAACAGTTGGGGACGATCTTTTCCGATCTTTTATTTATCTTGTTTACAGGATATGGTGAAAATGTCTTCTTACGACTGCTAAACATTGGCGTAGTTTTCTCGGAAACGATCTCCTCACGACAACAGCGATCATTTCTGAGAAAACTGCACTAATATTTAGCAGTCGAGAAAAGAAATTTTGAG